GGTCTGAATTCAGACCTATTCAGTGATACATTAGTTCAGCTTCTGTATTATAGATGGCGTTGCAAAATTTTGATTCTAATTATCATTATTAGATGGCGCTCAGAATAAAGAAGAATACAATGAAACATGTTGAGAATTTCACATTACGGAAAAATAATCAGTCCTCTACCTGTTACTGGGTAACTAACTATAATTATGGTAAAAAAGTAATTAGGGCGATCAACTGAGGAATGAGGTGCGAGAGGGTGACGGCGGTAGGCGGAGACATCAGAACCCCTTCCACGGCGAATCCGCACCCGCTGGTTATTTTCATTTTACTTATCTCATCTTATCTATTTTTAGAACCACTTGGGCGCGGTGGTCAGGGTCAGTATTTAAAAAAAAAATGAGATACAGGGTGTTCCATTTGGAAAAATCGAGTAGTACTCTGTAGATCATTTGTTCCGAGCACCCTGTATTGCCTGATGCAACGGGAAAAAAATTCCGAGAAATCATTTTAGATCATCCTTCAAATTTTTAAATCAGGTCAAAAATAAGTGAGCTAGAGGGGGGGAAAATTATGGTGAATCACCCTGTACATGGTTATTTGCTATCGAACTCCACTCAAGCCGCTGACCCAACGTGTTACGTTCATATTTTAGAGAAATATCTATACCCTGGCCGACCCAGGTTCTGAGGGCACGAGCCGTCACTGGTAGTTGGAGTAGATTATGCTGGTCCTTTCATGATGAAGGACAAACCAGGTAGAGGTTGTGAGTCCATTAGGTGTTGGGTTTCTTTATTCGTGTGCTTCAGCACTCGGGCGATACATCTCGAATTAGTACAATCTTTGACAAGCGATGCATTCCTGCAGGCTTTTCATCGTTTCATTGGTCGGCGCGGAAAACCATCGGAGGTATTTTCAGATAATGGTTCAAATTTTGTTAAGGCTAATAAAGATTTGATCAAACTGAATAAGTTTTTTAAAGATAACGAATCTAACATTTCTGGATACGTTGTCAATATTGGAATAAAATGGCATTTCATACCCGCAAATTCACCTCATTTTGGTGGTTTATGGGAAGCAGGGGTGAAAAGTTCGAAACATCATTTACGACGAGTATTGGGCAATCAGATTTTATTTTTTTTCGATTTCCGAACTCTACTTATCCGAATCGAGGCGGTGCTCAATTCCCGTCCCTTATTTCCCTTAACATCCGATCCTGAAGATTTATCCGCTTTGTCTCCCTTTCATTTTCTGATCGGGAAGCCTATGATGTCAATAATAGAACCGTTCGTTGACCACGTCCAAGAAAATCGACTGTCACAATATCAGAAGCTTCGAAAGTTGTACGACCATTTTTGGTGTAGATGGAGTCGAGAGTATATAAGCGAGCTTCAACAGAGAAGACGCTGGGAAGGAAACGAAGGCAAATTGAAAAAAGGTCAATTAGCTCTTGTACGGGATGACAACCTTCCACCAACTAGATGGCGATTAGGTCGAATTATAGACTTCACTTACGGCAATGATGGATTGGCTCGAGTCGTCTCTATCAAGACCGCAGACGGCATTATTTCTCGTGCCGTGAATAGGTTATGTCCGCTTCCAGTTGTCGGCTGAGTCCTCCAAGGCCGGGGGCATGTACAATGATGCTGAGTCCGTCCTGTATCAATCCCGTTCACGTGGTGACATAACAGTTGACAGTTTTGTTTTTTGAAATTATTTGATAACTTGTCAGAAAGATGTATCCACATTGACATTCAGTTTCATAATTAAAAAGTTAAATATTCAATACGAGCATTATACATTATTGGTGAGAGCCTCATTCGATAGTACACGAAACACATCCATTCTTATAAATCTATCCACTTCTTCTCTTATATGAATTTGCACTTGTCATCTCCCCACAATTGATCTGTACAATCATCATCTCATGTACAGGAAGGTTAACCATTTTATCTTGCGGAATCTTCCAACAAAATTTCCTAGACCCCACCCTCTCGGTGTTTCCTCCATCTTGGAAGTCTATAGAACACGCTTTAGAGAAAATGTATCAGCATGCCTAATAGTTATCAAATTGGTAAGAATTAGAGTCAGACGATGAGAAATATATAGGAATTCAATTAATAATAACACTTGATGGAGAAGTAAATGCTAGTATGATTTATTCATCATGCAGACTCGCTATTGTGTCGTAGAAATTGAAGAACAATGTGATAAAAACTCACCAGCCACTTCGTGTAATACCAATATTCCAGCACAAACTGATGAAACTCAAATTCACATTCAACAGTACACACCACGATTTTCTGTGTTAGCAATTGATATTTGATTATTAGGCCACTCCATCAGGCGTCCTTCGCAGTGTAACATGTTGACTACACAGTAAAAAGTACATTTTTGAAAGAAGACAGTGACTTTCTTTGAAAATATTATATCTGGTGAAGTGATTACTTCTTCAAATCAAGAATCGCATGTTCAACAGAAGGGACCTGGTTTCTCACAACGAGAAAAGGCATTTCTTGTTAATTTACTAGAATGAAACACTCGAAAAACTTGTCTGAAACCAAAAATTCTCCAGATAAGAAGAGGGTTTTTCTTCTCAAGATTGGCTATCTCTTCCACGATAGAAATTGAATATCTTCAGTTGAGAATATGACCAAGTTGATCTGAGTATATCTATTTTCTTTCAATTCAATGCTGATCTTACTTGAAACGTCTCAGCTCGTTCGGAAAGAGAAACTTGAAAATCTTAAATTGAGTGAGAATCGCTCTATCCAAAAAAAATATATTGTTGTTCTGAAATCCGTGAATTTTTCAAAGAAAACAGTAAACTCATTCGAAAATGATGAGTTGACATCTTCAGATCAAAAATCGCACATGCATCTGAATGAGGGGCCCAATTTCTCACACCAAGAAGAGGCAATTCTTGGTCATTTATTCAAACGAAATAATCTAACAGCTTGTCTGAAACCAAACGTTCTTGGAACAAGATGAGTGTTTCTCATTCTAAAACTGGTGACCAGTTCGAAGTAAGAAATTATTCAATTACTACTGAGGAGATGATCAAGTTCATCTAAGTATATATATATTCTTTTCAACTCAATGCATTATATTGCTTGAAAGATCTCAAGTCGTTCTGATCAAAAATCTCACATTCATATCGAGAGAAGGCATTTCTGGATCATTTTTAAAACGAAGTACTTGAACAGCTCGTCTGAAACCAATACATGAGTTTTTGAAACAATATTAGCGTTTTTCATTTCAAAGCCACCACTTCTTCTTTGTGATACCTATATATATATATATATATTATATCAATAAATTATATAATGTGTACAGAAACTAATGTATATATAAGAAAAACAATGAAAATGATCTCATCCAATGATATATATGCATTGACTCTATCTAGGACGGTTCTGCTCAAGCGCACTTGTTTAGTTCTGTTACTAAACCACATTAACTTGATGTTAGTGTCAGTGGCGTAGTTATAGTAGGGCAGTTCGGTGTTGTATATCCATTCAACAAGCCATAGTTGCGAATTCCAGAAAGAACACCCTGTATATTTTTAGTTCTTTGAACTCTAGGGACAATACTGAGTACTATCACATATAGTTCGATATGGAAACTTGGTGAATTTGGTTTTGCAAAATCATTTTCGAATTTGCATCTCCAAAATGATGACATGAATGATTGAGTAAAACATATTAGACAGCTCCCTCTACCAAGTTTGCATCTCCTTGGAACTCTGGAAACCATGGCTTATCTGAAGAATACCTACCTATATCGTGAATCGTGACAATAACCAGTACATGACAAAATATTTTATGTGTTCTGTTGCTGAGGTGCCACTATAATTATTGAATTTGAATGACTCATAAGAATGAGACGACTTTGAGCTTCCTTCCTCCCAATAATCATCCACTTAACTTGAGCAAATATGGACTTCTGAAATTCAATTTATTAATTCAATGCGTATAGTGACACCTCTCCTAACAAGAAACATCGAGATTGATGGTTTCCTGACTATCCTAGATTTTGGAAACAGATTTTTTGGTCCACTGATCACAAATCGTGTCCAGTGATGGCGCGTTCTCATATGAATAACACTGCGCTCATGGAAGACATTATTCCAATGATAAATATTCCATTTACCTTCCATTCTCATGGTTTAAAATCATCTAGAAGATTATACGACGATGATGAGCTTCAACAGAAGCGACACCAGTCCATTGTTTTTTCCTCCTGTGATAATGAAAAATAAATGGAGTTCTTCGAATAAAACGTCTGACAATATTAGTAGTAATAAATAAATTGATGAATCTTTTCGATTTTATGTACTCATAATTAACTTCCTTTAGCTTGAAAGGTAAGGAAATATTTTGGTGACCTAGAGCCCCATCAATAATTCTCGTTGCACCGCGGTCCCATCAACTCTTACTACGCCACTGCGTGTCACGTATCAAGGTATCATGCACAACAGCATATTATATACCTTCATATACCTAATACCGGTCCAGCATTGCCAGATCCACAACTGAAAAAATACTTGAAATAATAGGAGCCAAACAAGCAGATATAAGAAGTCAAATGAAGTTATGATACTGTATGATAGTATTATGACATGTGTATAAGTATAAACGAAACTGTGATATATGTGAGTACGAATTATGCGCGGTGGGAAATCCGCTGCATAGTCTGGGAGTGTAGCGTGGTACCTAAATCATATGCAAACGCACTAGGAGTGGCAATGCTGGGCAGGCATTGCTGGATGGGCGCTTGCGCAGACCCAGACCGACCGGCAAAATTTTCGAAGAGAGGGAGATGGCGTGCCCATTTACGCGCGTAAAATAATCCATTTCTGGCGTCACAGGGTTGTGTGGATGGTCTATACGGCACAGTGTATGAGTGTACAGTAGTAACGTTAACGTAACACTGGAAATAGGTAATTTGATTCGTATAGATTAAATTCTACATTACAATGGAAGAGCTTCTACGACAGTGGGACCTCTCTAAATTGATTGAAGTTTTCCAAGGTAAGTGATGATCCTAATTCGCTTTTTCGCGATCTTCATACATTTCACAAAGTTTTCTTGGTTTTGAAGCAATGTTCTTGGAGGATTTTACGTGTTTGGTCTGGTCTACATGGCGCTAGCGCCGAGGTGTAGGTAACTACTGAAACTCGAGAGTTGAGAAACTAAGGGCACAGTTTAATGCTTCTAAGGGTGAATACTCATGTCATATGCAATTAGTACCTATAATAGGATAGGCAGTATAGGTACTTACATTTTCATATAAGATCTGTAATCAATACCATATTATTTACTCTATGGTATTCTGATTGTAGGTACATACCTATCCCGAGTTTTTTTTTTCTGAAAGTTAGTCGAGGTTATTATTCAAGAATGTTTTTTTTATTTCAAGTATGCTTAATCTCAAAAGAATGATACCTAACTACATTTCGAGATACATTTGCTACTCAATCCAAGACTCAAAATCTCATAATGAAACTTTTTGATTCTTTACTGAAACAACTACTTAGATAGTAGGTATATTATAGCTCGGTGTACCTACTTATAGCATTGTCTTGTTTCGGTAATACCTACCTATACCTAGACCTATACACCTCTATAATCTCAATAGGAGATAATCTATTTATCCGTAGTGCCTGTAATAGGTACCTTTTCTGATCCAAATTGATCGTTAATATCATTGATATAGTGGGTGGGGCAGCGAATACGACACGGAGTTTCTATGAAAAACCATTGGATACCTATTACGGATTTTTTTTGGTCGGCTGAACTATCTAGAGCTCTCGAGCTTTAGATCTTCGTCTGTCAAATATCAGCGTCTGAATGTTTCATAAAACAAAATTTACATCAGGGTGTTTTCCTCCTGATTCTTCTAATAAGTCATCCACCGTGAATCACACTATGTAGGGACATAACATTGTCAATGTTGTTTCAGTACTATTGAGAAGTAGTAGGTACAGGGTGTCCCACCTGGAGGTGTCATCCCACTTTATTCTCATAATTCTTAAGATATTTTCGTCATTCAAAAACTCTTCTGGAATTTTTTACGAATTTTTGAACTTGAGCTCACTTTTTCTCTGTATCAACCAAATACCAGGGCGGCTCAAGAAAACATTTTTTTTTTCAAATGAAGTGACGTTTATTGTTTTTTTATAATTCGATGTGAAGCTCGTTAATCTGAATTTGAAGAAACAAAATCTGAGCCACCCTGTATTTTGTTGATATAAAGAAAAAGTGAGCTCAGATTCAAAAAATTTGTAAAAAATTATTCCAGAAAAGTTTTTGAACGACAAAAGTATGATGAGAATTACGAGGATAAAGGGGGTGCCACATTTTAGTGGGACACCCTGTACAGTCGGATGCAAAGAACATGTCGGGGTTGTATGGTGTTAGCGCTCTTATTGCAAGAGTGTAAGAGCACTATCACCTTCTATACGCGACATGTTATCTGAATTTGTCTCTTCCTACCTACCTACCTACCTACCTATTCAAGTTTAGGTCATTTCAGTTGTTATTGGATATTCTTTATTCATTGCAGATAACGAAATCACCATTGAAATTCTGCCAAAATTAACAGATAGTTACATCAAGGAATTGATTCCGAATATTGGAATGCGTGTCAGATTTATGGAGAATTTTGAAAAATATTTCGGAAACGCAGAACCTTCTTTTTATCAGAATAATACTCTGGATAATATTGATATAAGTGTTAGTATTTTTATTCATGAACTTTTGCATTAAACTAATAGTGACTCTTGAATTTTTCAGTTTTCTGATATATTATCGGAGTCTAACAGTACAGCATCAGTTTCAACGAACATATCTTCAGAAGTGTTAATTCCGATTGAGAATAGAGAAATATCCCTTCATTCTCGGGAGCAGTTGGATTCATATAGAATAGTTTTCCCAGAGTTTGATCTCAGAACATTATTAATAACGTCTCCGTTAGGGAATAGTGTCTTAACTTTTTATGATGCAAATAAAATTCTGGACAACACTAGGAGAAACAGAATGGTTGATATTATAATGAAGCATATGTTCAAATACCATGTCACCCAGTAAGTTGAATTCAACTACATTAATTTCTCCATGTATGATGACAGAATATACCCGAAACTAATTCTTATTATTTCAAAACTTCACTTTATTATTGAAAAGGCTGATTCTTAATAATGTTTTTTTTTCCTCAGTAGATTGAAACATGAAGATTATAATATAATAACGGCCAAAATCATCACGCTATTCCCAACAGAGGCCACTCAAACATATTATATACCGTCTGTCAAAAAGAAAGATTCATTTAACAGAAATTCTATTACTGCGAGAGGCAAATTGGTGGACAAGGCCAGGAATCTCGTTCATAGAAGTGGAGTCAGTACCCGGAAAAGGGAGATAGGTTCTAGCAGTGAAGTTCCAGCCAAAATCACAACATTTAGTAAGTTGGTGCAAGATTCTTGTGATTTAAATAAAAATTATACTTTTTATAGCTGAAGAAGATGTTGAATCACAGAGATTCCTCAGAACAAGGTCCGAACCATGGGAAGAAATAGTCCAACACTGGAATAAGACTTTCCATTTAAGAAGGAGTGAAAGTGAGCGAAGCCTTAGTTTGTTTTTGACAAAATGGCCAATACTTGAGGACCCAAGGGCAGACACATTGGTAGGTTGATGATGAATGTTCATTATAGTTGTTAAGTCAATCGGAAAATAATGCTAAATAGAATATTGTTTTATGAGCAAGGAATGATAGTCATTCAAAATTTCATTGCTTGAAATTCTACATTTCATGGGAGACCTGACTTATTGTGTAATGATAAAAACAACTGTAAAAAAATGAAGTCATTGCTTTAACAGGTAAGGAAAAAAAATTGAAACTGTAAAACAATGAAGTCATTGTTTTATCAGGTAAGGAAATAAAATTGATGACAAACAATGTACCTCATTGATCTATCAAGAACAGTTAAGATAGAGCAGTTTTGTGTTATAGACGTCAAAAAATATATTTTTGTCTTCAATTCAATTTCCGTACTTGATAAAACAAAGACCTCATTGTTTCACAGTTTCACTTCATTTTTTTACAGTTGTAGTTATTATTACACAATAAATCAGGTTTCCCATGGAATGTCAAGCAATGACAGCACTATTTACTTCCTCAGTTATTCAATGTGTAATTGATATTGCTAAATCATTTCGCTATTATCTGTTATAGCCGTAGAAAAAGTATACTGTAAAACTCGCAACATTCGCGTACGGCTCATACTCGTGAGAAATTCCTTGCTCTTTAAACAATATACTATTTATTGGCACTAGGGTATATAATGCACTACCCAACTCACTTAGAAGGCAACCATATAAAAGGGTTAAAAAGCAAATCCACGACTGGATAATTGAGGGCCTATATACTTACCTATTGTAAACTTTAACTCAAATGAGTTATACTATTTATACATTTTTTGTAAGTATTATTGAGGAGGTATTATAGTAATAATATTATGTACATTATGGTGTATGCATAACTGAAAAAAAAAACCTAGGTAACAATAGTTTCATCACAAAAGGCTAATTAATAATCAGCGCACACAGATTTCAAAATCCATTGTGCTGATAAAATTTAGTATAGTTAGGTAATAACACAAACTATTATAATGAATGTGAGAAATGTAAACTATGTACCTATAAGATACTGAATAAATAAATACATTTTCTAACTAGTGAAAAATGAACAGTTCATGTATGTACAATGTGTTACATTCACTATTCAATAAGAGGTTTAAAAGAATCATGTTACATTAATTTCATGAAAAAAAAATTATCCTGGTGTTTGTTTTTTATTCGATGTTCAAATGAGTTTTTTGTAGATTGATTGTGACTTTGACAGACTGTTCCCTAATCGAGGACTTCACTTCTTTGGAAACTGGCACAACTTTTTTGATGGAGTGATTGTAGCAAGAAAGGGCAGTAACAGATATGATGAAATAGAGGAGATTCTCGAGGAAGATGTCAATGAGAGTGAGTATTATTTTAAATGAGAATATGCGTCTCCGAAAGATTAAGGTGAAGACTAAAAAAATTATACATACATACTTATGAAACCAAACAAGGATGAAAGTATTTTATTTACATTTCATAGTGACTATTGAATCTAATAATGAAATGAGTATATACTAAAAGTTAACAGATTACTGTTGATCATCAAACAATTTGTAAAATTGAAAAAAATAATAAAATCCGTATAATGACAGTTTGGAATGTTGTTTTTTCTGAAACGTTACAAAAGACAATAAACGATGCGAACCAGATAGTCTGCACCATACCCAATAAAATATAATAGTAGAACCTAATATGAAATTCAATTCTCATCTTAATTATTCAATGTATTTCTAAAAGAAGTCAAAAGATACCAAATCGGCTTATCTATAGTCTGTACTAAATAGTTGTCTGCGTTTCAGAAATTGCATTTTGTTTGTGTTTCAATGGTTTCAAGTCTTATCACTTGAAATAAGAAAAAATATCTGGAAATTACCCAAACATTTTCCGATTGCAAATTAGCTGTTCACCTACTGAATATTGCAAAATTGGTTCCTCCCAAGGGAAGGAAGTCTATTGGAAAAGGAAAATTCTGGAAATTTACTGTTCAGGAATGTACTGACTCCATTATATGCCATGCCAAGGTAAGACTGAAATGATTGAACCTATTCTGTATATTATCTTCACATAAGTGCTTGTTCCACACCTATAAGAACATTTCATCTAATAAACAAAAAATTATACCAATTCATATAATTGTTAAATATGTACTATTCCTAGTTAGGTACCTAACTATGCCTTAATTCATTTCAGAATCCAAGTGATATACCAGAAATAGTGGAAGTTCAAAAAAAGAGTGCTTTGGCCAAGTCGGTAATGGTACAACCGTACCTCATAGTAGAGGGTCATGACGTGCGAGACATCAAGAATATATATATTGTGATAGACTCTGTCAGATATCACTTTGCTTCACTCACTAAGGCCTTTGATGTTTGTTTCAAAGCTTTCCATGTGTTCAATGCTGAATACCCACCTCAGTCTGAGCATATTTGGCAGCTCATTGCTCATATAATTTATAAATTACCTTTGGAAAAAACGACGTCATATATAATGGATATAGTGGCACATTTTCAATCTGATAGATAAGGCTCATATTCATTGGTGAGTAGGTACATGACTTTATGAATATAATCACAATGAATTGCTCGTGTAATGAAACCTTCACAGACATTGAACAACTTATTTATCATCTAGAATATATTCATAATTGTTCTTCCTATGTATGTCCATTCGAATTTTGTCGGAGTTCTTTCGACAAAAGGCATTCCTTCAGGCAACATTTGATGAAAGTACATAATCAAGTGAAAAAGAATGTTTCTGTAAATATTTCTAAACCTGTCATTGAAAAAAATGTTCCTGAAAACAAAAGTAAAACTGTTATTCATGAGATATCAGTAGCCTCGAATAACAGCACCCTCTCAGTTGAACCATCAAATAACTTAGGAGACTCAAGTAATAGTCTGAATTCATATGGTAAAACTGAAAATTTGAAGGATACGTTTTATGAATCATTGTTGACCTCAGTAGATATGCTCATGGCAAAATTATATAACAATACTTCTATACCTAGATCATTTATCCAAGAAACCATACAATATTTCAATTGCTTCTTGAACTCGGGTATGTTGGAAATTCTGATCAAAATTTTGACATTTTCACCTGTTAGCGATATAGTTACTGATTTGAAGTCAATGATTAAAAATTTGCAAGCCAGTTTATCGAATTTTGATACAGAATTCAAAAGATTTAGATATTTTCAGTCCACAAAACATTTTGTTGAAGCGACTCCTATAAAACTTGGTGTGACCACTGAATCGCAAACAAAAAATGGAAATGTTAGTTTGACTGTAAAACAAAAAATGGCGTACATGATGCCTATTGAATATCAAATGAAAACATTTTTTGAACTACCAGGGGTTTTTAGTTCGGTGCTCAGTTATCAAACTCAACTTATGAATGATAAAAGTGGTACCATGAATAATCTTGTCCAAGGTTCTCTTTGGAAAAATAATAAAAAGTTCAAGGAAGATTTAGTTTTTCCACTGTTAATTTATTTTGATGATTTTGAAATTGGAAACTGTCTAGGGAGTCATGCTGGTTACTATAAAATGGGAGCTATTTATTATACCATCGCAACAATTCCTCCAGAGTATGCAAGCAGGTTAGAAAATATTTTCACTGCTCTACTTTTTCATAGTTCTGACAGATGTGATGAATTTGGGAGAATCAGACTATTTGAACCTCTTATAGAAAAACTGAAGTATCTAGAAACTAATGGGGTGACTCTAAGAAATGGTGTTAATATAAAATTCAGCGTTTCTCTTGTAATTGGCGATAACTTAGGAGTTAATTCAATTTTGGGATTTACAGAAAGTTTTTCCTCAACATATTATTGTCGTATTTGTTTAGGTGCCAAGGATTCTTCGAAAACTCAAACAACTGAAGATCCACAAATAATCAGGAACGAAAATGATTATCAAAACCACTGTGAGAATAGATTATTCGGTATAAAAGAGGAATGCGCTTGGAATTCCCTGAGTAACTATCATGTTTACAGGAACATTACTTGTGATGTCATGCATGATATGTTCGAGGGAGTTCTGAGGTACGATATGGCTAGTATAATATCTGAACTTATTAAAGAACGCCTTTTCTCTTTGGACACCTTGAATTCTAGAATAAAATTTTCTATTTATGATCCATTTGAAACTAACATTCCACCCAACATAAAACTGGATAATCTGAAGAAGGGTAAAATTGTCATGTCATCCTCTGAAATGTTTTGTTTACTAAGAAATTTTCGTTTTTATGTAGGAAATGCAGTCCCAGAAAATCATGAGGTATGGCTATTTTACTTGAAAGTTCTAGAGATAACTGAAATAATGATGTCTCTTTCCCTAACCAATGATTTATTGATATTATTGGACACTTTAATTTCCGAGCATCATGAAATGTACTTGAGACTGTTTAATGTT